CCTTTGTCCAACCAAGAACAATCTACAAGGCAGCAGTTGTTTAATTTTGGAGTTGTCTCTCCTAGAAGAGCCCCCAGCTAACGAGCCCCCAGCTAACGAGCCTCATCTGCCCGAGGGTTCGAACTCGAGACTTTTCGGTTTAGCAACCATGAGCTTTACCGACTCGACCACGCCGACCCCTTGTAGCACTGTAATTTTGTGTTTGTTGTTTTTAAACATAAGAATACATAGATTTAAAAAAAAAAGATGTTTAATATACCGCTTGTAGTAGTGGGGGAGCAGTGTTCCTTTTAGGATCTCTCTGTGGGGGGGGGGGGGGTAGATCTCCCGCCCCTACAGAGAACAGAAATATATAATTAAAATAGAAAAATATATGCTTTAACCAGAATCAATTTCCGCTTCCCCCCCCCCCCCCCCCCCGGAAGTTTTAAGTCCCCCCCCCCCCCTCTCCCCCGGAGAAAATTTATGAAATAAATGCTAGTTTTGGAGTCATTCATAACAAATATTTTAGCATTGAAAGTTAGTTAATTCGACTTTTACATGAAATGTTGTTGGGGGAGGTTGTGTGTATGTGGGGGGGGGGGGCGAAAATCCAGACTCCGCATGTGGAATCGAGGTGTACAGGCGCGCTCGTACGTGTACATACTGTGTGCACACTATTACTTTGATGAAATAAAATAAAAATTCTGTACTCCACGATTGCACCCAGTGACACTCGCATAAATTAACATATTTAATATGCAAACGACACTTATGACGAATGTGACCCGGTGACCTACATTTTGTTGTAAAGCTATAAATAACTCCACGCTCGCATGATTGTGCGGAAGTTATTGTTACATTAAAGTGTGACATGGGGTTAAAGGTCATGGGCCTTTAATTGGCGAAATACAAATTTAATTTGTGAAATACACATTTAATTGGGGAATACAAATTAATTTGGCGAATACAAATTTAATTGGCAAATACAAATAAAATATGAAATTAGTAAAGTACCCATTGCGAATATGAAGTAGAGTTCATCTGTTTCTATGACTGCGGCATATGAAAGAAATGCGTGGTCAGCAAGACCAACATATAGCTGGGGCTGATTTATAACTAAGTTTCCAACACTATAATGCTCTACCGAGTACTGACGTGAAGCGAACTGATCACAATGGTTTCCTAGACTACCGTCAACGCCCTTCAATTCTAATGTCTGGCGCGATTTTGTGACATTCCTGGGTGCGAATGCCACTTGGGCTTGTCCGTGGAATTGATGTCATTATGTCAATTACGTCATAAACGCCCGTGTCGTTATGTCATTACGGTACATACTAAAGCAGGAAACGGATAGCTAATATGTGGTGAGAACACCTAGCTAAATCTGGCACAAGAGAGTTCTAATAAAGGGCTAGCTTGATGAAACACAGATTAGTTCTAGCTAGGGGGAGGGGGGGGGGGGGGCTCTACGAAAAGATAATGTAAATAAATTAGGCCTAGCTTGTTAGAAATAAGTATTTAAAAAAATAATTCATACCTAGAATGTATGGTGAAAAAGAGGGGGTGATTACTGAAATTAATATCAAGATGTTGTCAATTTACACTTTAAAAAAAATGTATATTTTTATAACGAAAATTAATTGTGCATTCGGGGTTTAATTATGTTGTCCAAATAAAACAATATCATGACAATATTTTAGCATTAACATTTTGTTAACAATAAACGTTGATAGACTAGCTTTCACAACACGTCCTTAAAAAAAAACACATGATAATTACGTAAAATTATAATAGAACATCGTTCTGTTGGGTGCCTAAGTAAAGGCGGCTGGGCATAGTGCTGACCACACTATCTCTTCATATGCCGATGTCACAGAAACAGGTAAACTCTACTTCACTTGACCCAAGGACCGTGAGTTTCGAGAAGGAAACACAATCATTAACTCAGTGTATAAAACTTTTATCAGAAACCAAGGCAAGCTTACAATAGATCTTGCTTGATATCATAACATAATCGCACGGTCAGTCATATACACATGCATCATAATTATGCTAAAGTTTCCTAGGTTTTCAAGTAACCCCCGTACAGCCGTGTGGGACGGGGCGGGAGGGGTGGGGGTTAAAGGATTATATTGACACTTTCCTTCCGACTCCACTTTTTCAAGGAAGTAGTTTGGGGGTCGGCGGTACAGGATGTGTGTGTGTGGGGGGGGGGGGGGGAGGCGGAAGGGGAGAAGGAGGGGAGGGGGGGTTGGGTTGACAACCAGGATGCAGCCTATCTCAGTGTTTTACCTTGAGGTGACATTGCCTCCATTGTGTAGATGTTTGCCATTAGGTTTGGTTATTTCACTAGATGGTGGGGGGGGGGGGGTTAATATTTTAGAAATAGCACTGTACAAATACACGAAACAGCGTTATCTGTAATCACGTGATGTACATCTATGTGTAATCAGCGACATGTCTCTATCGCTCAGGACATATTACATCTAGTTCCCATAAAAATGCGCAAACAGAAAACTGCGCAAACACAAACTAATTATACCAATACACTTCAATTTTGTCTTATTTCTTTGACATATGTTTTATTATGCTACAACGTATACGTAGTCACTCTGTGTTAATATCTTTAATGCTAGATTTAAGAAAGCAAAAATACCCTTGCGCACGTTTTGTGCGCAGGTTTCCGTTGCGTGTCTTTCCTGTCACCATTACATCCTTGTGATTTTTAAAAGTACGTTAACTTAGGCTGTCATATTCCATTCATATTGGCAGGTGCAGATTGTTTTAATAATGGTTTAAGGAAATATAAAAAGTTGTTTAAACTACCCCGCGGTGTCGTAAGAATGAGGGTGGGGGTGTGGTCAGCATCGTGTGCAGTGGCGTAGCCAGGATCGTCTCAAGGGGGGTGGGGGATTTGCACCCCCCCCCTCAAACTTTCGATTTGCACCCCCCCTCAAACTTTCGATTTGCACCCCCCCCTTAAACTTTTTCTATATACCGAGGGGTCTATGGGGGGGGGGGGTTATGACGCCCCCCCCCCCCCCCCCCCTGCCGACGCCGCTGATCGTGTGATACCCGGCCTAGTGACTCCACCGCCCCGGGGAAAGTTTGGCTGGGTAACTCGGAGATTTAGGAGAGGCGAGGTCGGATGGTAGAGTCTACGCCTGCTAACCCAATAGTCTCGAGTTCGGATCTCACGATTTAGTTCGTAGGACGTCCTTGAGGTCGCCTCAGCTCTTATGGGTACCTGATCACGTTAGGGAGAAAAATAAGGCGGTCTGTCATAGTGCTGACCATGCTATCTATTGATTGACCGAGGTCACTGAAACAGGCGAACTCTACTTCACCTGCCCCCACGGTCCTAAATATTAGCACACTTTTACTTGAACTCGGAGCTTAAAGATTACAATCTTTTAAAAAGTAAGCTCAAGACTTTAGTCCAGGCTACACCCCCATACATATGGTCTGAGGAAATGTAAGGATTGTGTGGTCAATTCTGTGCATAGCCACATTTACTTACCAATTCTGGACAGGTACCCATTGGAGCTGAGTGGACTCAAGGACTGAATTTAGGACCTTATGTGTAATCTATAATCAGGTTAAAAAGTGTAACAAATATCTTTCAAGATTACTGTACGGTTACTTTAGTGACTATTTAAGAAAATCCTAATTCTAAAGGAGATAAATGAATAAATTATCTAAATACGATGTGCATTCCACTGTTTTTAAAATGCATTATTTACCCTACGATTAAGGAATTTAAAAAAAAACACAATTTTAGGCAAATGATTTTGTCAATTACTGTCATATTTTTATGACAATTACTGGGCCCATTGTCATGAAAATTACTAGCGAAACATTCTTCTGTCAATTAGGCCTACTGTCCATTAATTTTTCGTCATTTTTTTTTCAAATTCTCTGATAATAAAATTATCTACAATTTCCCGTTATGTGTATGTACACTTCAAATTAAAAGTAAGAAACCTTTATAAAAACGAAACACTAACAGTACATCCCAATATTCCCAAATTTAGTATTCCAAACCAACTTCTAATTACTTCGATGACTAATTAATGAGTACATTATCTGTCCAACAATTTTTTCCAACATTGTGCGGTCACAAAAGCATCCAAAAACACCAACCATGTCCATAATTCATTCCTATTTTGCTTTGTCACGTCCTGCATAGTTTAGGATGGCTTCCCTTTATTATTCCCTCCCTTTACTCTTGCCGCGCTGTGTCAAGTAGACCCTACCGGTCGCTACACTATACTGAGGCATTGAATAATATAAAAACAACACAACGTTAACCAGTCCATTTCAGGTTGTCTCTTCTCTTATTGGTTAAAACAATACCTTTCTGTAATAGTAAAGGCTCTATTTCTTAAAATAATGTAATCAATGAAGTTCTGTTCAATAATTGTAACACAATATCAGTACAGAAAAATGAGCAACTATTTTCAAGAGCAATTTATTCTGTAATTATTCTTGTCTACCATGGTCCGGTATTCAATTTAATACTTTGTATTTTATGTTCTTTGTGTTCTTTTTGTTCTTTGTTGTCTTTTGTTTCAATTTAATTTAAATTAAGTATTTCTGATCCACAAAAACATCTAAAATAATTTATTTAAAATATTTGTAAAAAGGTAAAGTTACCCTTTCTTAACTTGCGGTTAAAATAGGACAGATGAAGTAGAATTCACCTGTTTCTTCGACCTCGGCATATGAAAGGATAGTGCGGTCAGTTTTATGACCAACAACCTTTATTCTTTTTTTTTTACTAATTGAGTAAACTTAGGAACGTTCTAAGGTATTAAGCATGGGACACGAACTCGAGACTTTCGGCTTAGTATCGTGCGCTCTACCGTCCTACCACGGCATTGAAAAAATATTAATTACATTAATAAAAAAACGTAGGATTTTTTCTATATAGGAAAAAAAGTCTCTCCAATTTTATCTTAAAATTATAATTTAATTTAAAAAAATTAAATCTCAAATTTCTTTTTTCCCCTCCCTAGATCACTCCGACGGCCCCTACCCCGGCAGCGTGTACCCATCAGACGCCGAGTTCACGGCACGCGACATGGACGGGCCCAGCTTCTACTGCGCCTACCTCCGGTTCAGCCCCATCTCCAAACCCCCCACCAACATCGGCGTCCTCCAGGCGCCCATCAAGGAGCTGTACTTCAAGTACCGCAAGACGCCCGCCAGCGGCCGCAGCGCCTGCCTCAAGCTCATCCAGAAGGGCGTGCTGGTTGTCTTCTACGAAGACGGCAATGTCAAGGACGAGATGTTTTTCGATTTCTCCAGCGTTGTGTTCGTGGAGGCTGTCAAGTTTTTGCCGGTCAAGACGTCCAGTGAGAAGAAGATAAAGGCGTTGTTTGTGCCGGTGGACGAAAGCAAAGCTCAGTTGAGCGACAAGAGCGCGTTTCTTGTGGAGAAACCGTTCCAGTTTTTGACATCCACAACCCACCCTCCTTTGGTGGTTTGCGTGGTGAGGCGACCTACAGGGGTCAAGGCTTTGGACTGTCACGTGTTTGCGCTCGACACGGTGGAAAATTCCTTGCATATAACGGCTTTGATAGGGTCGACCCAGATCCCTCCAGGGATCCCGGTGGGACGTGGTGACGGCGGAGACCCCTCAAAGGCGAAAGGGAACTTCGATAGGGGTGGACGTGGGGATGTTATACGGACAGAGTACGGGGAGTATTCGGTGTATCGGGGCCCCCATGGATACGAGGGCCCCCCTCCGGGCCAGCGGTACAGCGGCGGGCCTTTAATGAGCCCTGTGAGAAACGGCCCCAACCCCGGGGTCATCCCAGGGGGCGGGATCATGTTAACGCAGGACAACTTCCGGGACCCGCCTTCACAAAACCCCGCCTACGGACTCTACGAGCAGCAGAATATGGGCGGGGTTCAGCTTCGGAACCGCCCTGACGTCATCATGCACGTACGTCAGAGGTCAGGCGACAGCGGGGAGAACTCCCCGCACGACAAGAGCTTCACCAGCAACGCGGGGTCGGAGCAGGGCGCGGCGCGGCTCCGCATGGAAGAAGCCAACCTCCGCAACGCCCAACGTCTTTCCGGCGGTCTCGGCATGGCAGGTAACCGGATGTCCGTTGGTCAACTGCCCTCTGGGGAGAAAATATCCCCGCACCTTCACGACGCCAGATATCTATCAGGTCCACAGTTTTCCCCGCGAAACTCCGACCCAAGTTTATCCCCGGCGGTCAATTCCCCTAGATCCCCGCAGGTGTATTCCCCGACGAGCCCCCGGGGATTCGACGGCGGGCCAATTTTCTCCGCCTCCAACCTAGAAAGCAGAGTCATGGACGACGACGCGGGGGAGCCCAACCCCTCGGGAAAACCGGTCGCGAAGGTCCCGCCTCACATGAAAGCCGGCATCAAAGTCTTACCCTCAGACTTCTTCGCGGTCAAGCTCAAACCTAAAGCCGAGAAACAAACCGAATCTTCCTTTGACGAGTCAGGCGGCTACGATAACAACAAAGAGCTGATGGAGAAATACAAAGAAATCCAGGAGCACCAGAAAGACTCTGGAATTTCAAGCGGGGCTAGACCTACTTCCGGTAACATCCGCGGCAACCAATACGACGACGGCGACGGTTTTCGAGAGTTTTCGAAACACCGCTACGAAGAAAACACCCGGGACTATTCCTCCAACTGGCAAGACACCAGCCCGGACCGGCCCGTCCCCGGGGACGTCTACCGTCACGGTGCCCCGGGGGCGCCGGGCTACCCTCGCTACGAAGACAACAACAACAAAAACAGATACAGCGTCCCCGACTACGGGATGGACCCCCACATGGGGCGCCAGTGGAACAACGGGCAGAAATCTCAATCCTCCTACGAGATGGGCAACCCCTCCCCGTACCCCCACAACCCCGGCCTTGACCCCCACTCCAGGATGAAAGACCTTGAAATCGCCAACATGTTTTCGAACTTTGGCCTTCAGGGGGGTCGACCCGCCCCGGACATGCACAGGCAAATGAGAGACAGAAACGAATTTGCTGAAGGATTGGGTTATCTCCCTTAGCTCGTGCCATTTAACACTTGTCTTACATGCATTGAACACTTTCTTCACATGTGCCCCCCCCCCCTCCTCCACATCAAATAACTCACTTGTAAATACAAAATATAAACACTGTATATTAACCAAGTGATAAATGCGTGCTACACATGCGTGTGGTTTCAAGCACATCTGGAAGCTGCACGCTCACGCAATGTTTTGATTGGTGGTGGTGTGGATTACCAATATGTTACACTACAGTCTGATCACTATGTTGTACCTTTATGGGGTTCTGTGTCAGAGGGTATATATTGATATATATATATATATATATATATATATATATATATATATATATATATATATATATATATATATATAATGTATACATACACAGAATTTGTAACAATTTTTTAACAGGAAAGGCACTAACGTAAGAGACATAAAATTAACTAGATTTCGTTCCCTAATTTTTCTATTAAAAGTGTATGCTTACTATATATTATTTAACATCCATCTCGTTCTGGGGGCGGTAGATGCCTGGAAGAAACTCTGATCCCTGGGTCCCCTATACCATTATAGATTCTGGTCCCCCATGTACCCTTATTTACCCACTTAGCCCTCGCTCTACCATAGTTCCCAAGTAAGTACCTGTCTAGCACATTTTAACCCTTTACCTACAGTACCTCAACAACATCCAGTTTTTTTTTATTTTATTTATTGAAACATTTCCATTTTTAGCTGACATTCTCATTGGTATTCCAGAAATCGATCCCATAATGCTTCAGTTTCACACTATTTCTTCACGCATTCATCAATATACACGTCATATATAAGAAAGAAAACGGCCTTACATTATATATTAATTTTTTTTATAATCTCCCCCTCCTCCCATCAAATTTTTCAAACCCGCTCCCCTCTAAATTTTCAGCACCCCTTTTCAATGTTAACCCCTCATGCTAAATTATATCGTTGTACCACATGCGAACATAATTATCCCTTGCTAAATTATTATTTGTATCATTGAGCCAACAATCTTCAATATAATGTATGCTAATTTAATTACATTTTTGCTCATTAAACGGCTGATGACTCATTGTTTTTCACATCGGATTTTGTGATTATATCCTGCATAAAATATAGCCACAAATCAACCTCATTTGTGCCTTTCTATTCTTATTTATACTTGCAACATAGGGATATTCTGATTGGATAATTAGCAATGAATGGTTGTCATTGTGCTCCGCGGAACAAACACAAAATAAATCCAAAATGGCGGCCAGAGATCTGACTTCGCGGAAGACAGCATTGCTAAAAATAGATTATTTTTTGGGCTATTCTTTTATGGGGATCTTTAATTAACACTTATTTTTAATTTAGTTTGTTATATAATTATATGAAGCCATTCTGGTATGTTAATAAGATTTGATTTTTACTCGATAACTTTGCCAGCAAAGTAAATGCAGGCTGCAGCTTTACGCCATTGGCTCGAACAAACTTTATTTACACTTTTAGTGTGCCAAAATTTGTGAGTAAAGTTACTAGATTAGAAAAAAAATATTTGCCTTAGGTATCAGTTTATCAGATATCCATCTGTCAGATATCTGTGAGATATGTTTGTCAGATATCTGTTTGCCAGATATTTGTCAGATATCTGTTTGCCAGATATTTGTCAGATATCTGTTTGTCAGATATCTGTCTGTCAGATATCTGTCTGTCAGATATTTTTCAGATCTGTTTGCCAGATATCTTTCTGTCAGATATTTGTCAGATATCTGTTTGTCAGATATTTGTTTGTCAGGTATCGGTCAAATATATCTGTTAGATATCTGTTAGATAAGTTTCGGATATCTACCAAATATCAGACTTTCAGATATTGGCCAGATATCAGACTGTTAGATACATTTCAGATAACAGACACTCAGATATCGGACAGATATCTGTCAGTGTCAGATATTCTGTGAGATACCAGTAGGTTCGATTGTCTGTCTTCTCGATAAACAGCAATAAACTATTAATGCTAACTTCTAACAACTTATAATCAGTCAAATTTGTAAAATTATGTTCAACGTTTTGGCTCTGAGATGAATAAATGTGCTTTCAAATAGCAAGCTGTTTTTCCAGATACATTAAATACCAGTGGCCATTCTAAATACGTTCCTGGTATCTTTTATAATGATCTGAAATTTATCTGAAAATGTTAGGCCAATCTGGCATATTTGAACCATCCTGGCATACTTTAAATACTTATCTGGACAGTCTGTCTAGTTATATAGTTACCAAAATATCGTCACTTCCCCCCCCCCCTCCATCTACCATCACCAGTATACAATATTACATAAGTGGTCCCCCCCCCCATGCTTACCCAGTTGTATAGCTTATCCTAATATACCTGAGTCAAATATATACTTTTGTATCACACACCTGATATCTTCCCCTTCACACATTCACATCCCAGTATCAAGATACAAGATACCTAACACACCTCCCCCCCACCCACCCCCCCCACCCCCAGCACCTTTTCATGTTGTCTCCACTATTTTAGTAAGCAGAAAAATAATTTAAAATCTTAAAAATTGATTTATTCAAATAAACTATTCTTAATTATATAAACGGTTGATTTTGTTATACAATGTTGCTGTAATTATATCATTTTTTTTCAATTCTTTATTATTAGTTGTATAATTTCAACATGTATATGGATGTTTTAAAAAATTATAATTTATTATAAAAAAAAAACTTGCATGGACTGAAGTTATTTATATCTCGGGGTAAAATGTTTTTGATATCGCCCCCAGAGTCGATAGTGTGAAGGGTGGGTAGAAGCAATACACGGTATAGCGATTCAGCAATATAGAAGTATGGCTATATAACAATACACGCTATAGCAATTTAGAAATATAACAGTACAGCTATATAACAATACAAAATATAGCAATATAGCCGTAGAGCCATATAACAATACACTCTATAGCAATTCAGCAATATAGCAGTACAGCTATATAACAATACAATCTACAGCAATTCAGCAATATAGCAGTACAGCTAAATAACAATACAACCAATAGCAATATATCAAAACAGCACTACGGCTGGGTTTGTATGCCTATTACATGCGGTGTGAATATCGAATCCTTTCCAAAAAAAAAAACACTTCCAACATCAAATAAAATCACGCCATATTTGCCCACGCTCCACCAATCTATTCCTAAATACATACATGGACGCCCCATGACGATCCTCAATGGCGCCCTAGTCTACCCCTGTAATCCTCCGCCCCCCTGTGTAGATTTTCAATCTACTCCCGCACCCCTTACAACACACTACAATTACCTAGAATCCAACCTATAGCTGAACACTTTATTTAGTCACTATATATAGTCAAATGGGACGGAGTGGTCTAGCGGTAGAGAGCTGGGCTGCTAACCCGTAAGTCTCGAGTTCGAATCCGGGTTCAAGTCAGTAGACCGTCCCTGAGTCCACCCAACTCTGATGGGTACCTAACTCACGTTAGGGAAAGTAAAGGCGGCTGGGCATAGTGCTGACCACACTATCTCTTCATATGCTGAGGTCACAGAAACAAGTGAACTCTACTTCACTTGCCCCATAGACCGTCAGGTTAGAAACGGAAACTTTACTTTTTTTATATATAGTCAAGCACAATTTTTGTTAAAGTCAACTGAAGTTTGTATACAACTACTGTTTAAAATTTGTTTTATAAAACTACCTTTGTTACATAACCATTGTTTTATTTATGTACACCTTTTTAAAAAGCCAATTTACGGTACTGTATAACCGTTTTAAAAAAAAAATTGCTTTTGTATTAATAATTTGTGGTTCAAATTTTAAAACCCAATCTTCAACCTTAAGCCTAATGGTGTAACACTAGATATACTTACGTAACCCCAGTCACAAAGATACCCTTTCCTAGTCTTGTTTTAGTTCATGGAACGTTTGGGCATTTGGGCACTTACTGAAACTCGGATAGGTCATGTCAAAACTATATTCACTGGTATCGATATTCGATACTTAAACATTCGATACTACACTCTAACCCTTACTCTAAGTAGTGTCGTCACTATGTGCGGTAAATCAGGGTGTCACCCCACCTCCTCCAATAATTTAGCATTTTCAGTTTGGGTGTCACCTCGCTCCCTCTATTATTATTTTAACTAGATAGACAATTGTTTTGACAGTACAATTTTTTTTCTCATTGATGTCACCCCACACAAATGGTGACACCCCCCCCCCCTCCCCGGGCTTGTGACACTACTACTTACTCTAACACATACAAAAAACAAACTTACATTACAACACGTGATATCCAGAGTTTTACAAGGACCGAACTTAGTTTTGTTGGTTCTGTGTAAATGTATTTCAAAGACAACTGATCATCAGTAAACTTTGAGCAAGCTCAGCATAAAAGCACAGCTTGATTTCTTGTTTAAAATTAAACAAATATTTCAGATGATTGTTTTATGTCTATCCTTACGTTGGTCAAATTTACTACAAATTATTATTAAACATGGTATGTTTCATATACATTAAACATGTCTTATCTGTTGTTTATTTTTCTGTTCGTCTACACAAATAAGTGAACCCATATAAATATTAGGAAAAAAAAATTCCTCCCTTTTAAAAGAATGAGGATGATTTTGAATTGAAGACCTTAATGCTATAAGTAGTAAAGTCACAAAAAACAGCAATCTCGGATAGATGAGTTTATTTAAAAAAAAAGAGTTTAAAAACCATTAAGTTTAAAAACCATTGAGTTTAAAACCCATTGAGTTTGAAAACCACTGAGTTTAAAAATTAAAATTGGCTATAAATCTAAGTTTTTATTTTTTGTTTGTTTAAAAAAAAGCACATAAATAAATACCTAACTATTAATATTTGTTACATAAGATAGAGTGATACAAGAAGTATAACAACCATTGCTCTTGGCTGTTCAATTACTAGCGTCGATAAGGGAAAATGCAGATTAATCTTCAAAAAACACAAAAAAGTTGCCAGAAAGAAACGAATCAAATCTTTGTGTCCTCAAGACATTGTGCCCGTCGAGGAGCAATACCCGTCACTGTAGTGACCAAAGCCCACCAGAGGCGTAGCGACCCTTCCCGGCGCCCGGGGACAAACTTTTCGATTTGCACCCCCCCCCCTCAAACTTTCGATTTGCACCCCCTCAACCTTTCAATTTATTTTGCCAACCCATTTTGGCGCCCCCTAAGGTCGGCGCCCGTGGACATATGTCCCCCCCGCCCCCCCCCCCCCCTCGCTACGCTACTGAAGCCCACTGTGGGTAGTGTAGACGGAGTGGCATCAGGCGGAGAACCGCC